ATTAAAATGTTAATATATAAATATATATAACATATTTTGTTTATAAATATATATATATATATATTTATATTTATATATTATTTAATTTATTTATTTTTAATAAAATAAAACACTTTTTTCTAATTTTATTATTTATAATTTTTTATTTTTTAATTTTTCTAAAATATATTTTATTTTTTTTAAATTATATTTAATAACTGCTATTTTTTATTATTTTATATTTTTCTAATAATAAAACAAATAAATAAATATACAATTAAAGAATATAATAAATAAATTTTAATTTTATAGAAATAAATATTTATTTTCAAAGAATTGACTAATTAACATTTTTTTAATAACTATTAGAGTATTTATTATATTTCTCTTCTAGCAAATCTTAATAAGTACTATTTTATATATTTTTATTTTATCCATCTCCTAATTTTTTTTAAATAAGTATTTATGGACTTTATTTTTATATAATATATTAATGAGATAACTATTATTATTATTGATTATTATTTTTTTAATATTACTATAAATAACTTTCATTATTTTTTTCCGGAGTTTATTTTTTATATTTTTTACATGAACTACCTTATTTTAGATTAATATTTTCTTAAATTTGCTCATTATTTTTTATTTAACAAAACTTTTAAATTTCTTTAATTAGAATTTATTTATTTTTAAAATCAGAAATATTAATATCCTCATCTTAGATTTTTTTAAACTAAAAATCTATATTTTTAAATGTATTTTTAATCATAGAAAAGACTTAAAAAAGATATAAAGTAGTATTTGGATTATGATTTTTTTCCTCGATTTTAAATTTATTGATACAATTTAATAAATAACTTAAATCGTTTATATTTTATTAACATTCGTTCATTTTTTAGTTAAAAATACTACTAATTTACTCTTTTATTTAATTTTCTTATTCTTATAATGCCTTATATACATCATCGAATTAAATTTTTATGTTTTAAATTAAATATTATTATCCTTGATTTAATATATTAATATTTTAAGCACATACTTTTAAACAATTTTCTATTAAAACCGATTTTTATTTAGCCTCCTATCGAAAAAGCTAATTTTCACGCTTTATCATATCAATAGAATTTTTTAAAGAATTTACACGATGTCTTTTATGTTTATCAGTTTCATATAAACATTAAACACAGAGCAAAGTTTAATCATCTTAGCAATATATTTAAATATATTCTTCATGTTTTTTACATATTAAAGGTTAGTCGTTTGTTATGTAAGGAATTTCGGAAGGAAAATAATCATCAGATAAAGTTTTAAGGTTTTAATCAATAAGATCAGAATGGGGTTTATCTTTTCTTTTTTTATAAGTATTTTTTGTTAGGGGGAATTGTAATTTTAAGTTTTAGTATGTAATTCATTTGTTTTTTATATATAAATCATATGATAAGGAAATTTTTTAAGAATTTTTTTTTTATTTATTCAAATTTTATGCAAATATTTTTAATTAAAAATTCATTTGTTTATAAATATAAAAATATTTGTATTTATATATATTTATATATATTTATATATATATATATAAATTTATATATATATTAGATCTTGTTTTTATTTCGCTATATAACTTTTTTACATACGAATATTTTTATTTTCTTTTTATAATTTTAATATTTTAAATAAATATATATTATTTTATAAGTTATTTTATTAAATTACTATTTTACTTTTTCTTTTTAATTATTATAATTTTTTTGTTTTCAAAATATATATTCATTTAATAATGTCTTTTTACATATTCATAATTTTTTATATTTATAATTATTAGATAAATACTATAATATTTTAAATAATATTTTAAATTTAAAATTTATATATTTTAGTATATAATTTTTAAAAATGTTTTTATTTATTTTTATTCTTATTTTTTTTATATATAAATTCAACTTTTTTAGTTGATATTTTTATTTTGTTTTTAGTATTTTTTTTTTATTTCTTTTTATTTTTTTAAATTAATATTTATAATTTATATAATTTTTTTTGTTATTTTTATTTTTAATATTTATATATATACATAATTTATTTATGTATATATATATATATATATTTATATATATTATTTATTTTATTTATATTTTATTTTTATTTATCAATTAAAAAATACTGATAGATGATTTATTATTAGATTATTTCTTTCTTTTTTATTATTTTTATATATAATATATATTATTATTTATATAAAATATACAAAAATTAATATATATGCATAAAATAAAACAATTTTTTATTTATTTATATAAAATATTTAAATTAAAAATTTTATATTTTTTTTATAAAAATAATATATATTAATATAAATGAATATATAAATATATATTTATATGTTTTTTAGTTTTTTTCTTTAAATCCAATTAAAAATTATTTTTTTATATATTTTTTAATACAAATTAAATATTATAATTGTTTTTATTATTATTAATTAATTTTTATCTTTAAAAAAATATAAATTTTCTAAAATCTAAAAATTAAATTTTTTATTTATTCTAGAAAATATAAGAAATATAAAATATTATTAAAAATTCATTCAGTTTTTAACTCAACCTATCTACTTTTTCCATTTTTTGATACTTTTAATCTATAAACATTTCCTATATTATATCCAATTATTCATGAAAGATCTTTTCCACCTTTAATTTTAATTCCATTTATTTCTGTAATAATCTCACCCAATTTAAGTCCAGCTTTTCCCCCAGGTCCTTCCTAGTTAACTTTAAGTATAAAAGCCCCTTATACATCAGAATCTTAAGTCCATTTAACAGAAATACCTACATAAGGTTTTCTGACACTTTTTTTTTCTAAATATTATTTCACAATTCCATATAAATGATTGCAAGGAATTGCTAATAAATGAGATTTAACAAAATTATTAGGAACAGGATAATTCATTCCTAATATATTCCCTTCTTCGTCAACTATAGAACCGCCATACATAGATGTATATTTATTTTAAATATTTGCCATTATAATTAGTGATTATGCTGAAAAATCAAAAGCTTATTCTGAACTTAGATTGTTTTCGTTAATAATACCTTGTTCGAAAATATTAAAGTCTAAATTTGATTTTCCTATTTAATATATTCTTGTTCCTAAAACTGGTATTTAATCTGAGATTTTTCCTTTTCTAAAAGGTAATTATTAACTAGTATTTTATCTTTGAATTTAACATATAGATATATTTTCATTTTCTACATGGTATTCCACTATAAAATTAAATGATACATCAAAATCCGATCTCATTGATTTGACATAATATTGGTTTGAATTATTAGTTTCGCCAGAATCAAATATATTTGAAATTGTTACAAATCGCCCCTCATCGTCTATTGATATACCCGTAGCTATTGGTTTGTGGTTTCTTTCGGAATATACGAGGACTATTGAGTCGATAATTTGTTCTTTGATTTATTCAGAGTTGAATATATTATCAGAATTGGTGTTTTTTTTAAATTTGTTTCAGTAAGACAGTAAGCTGGGTGGAATAAATTGGAAAAGTATTTTTTTAATAAGCTTAAAATAATCCTATTGTTATTATTGTTGGTATTATTTTGGAATTTTGGTTTAATTTTTTATATAATTTGTTTGAAAATATTTTTCATATTTTTGCTTTTTTTTATATATATAAAAAAAATATATATAATTTTTTTATTTAAAATAAAAATTATTTAAGTTCTTTATTGTAAAAATAAAAATATTTTAAGATAAAATTATATAATTTAGATTTTAAGATAATATTTATTTATTTTTATAAAACAAATAAGACTAACTTATATATATATATTATTATTAAACATATATAAAATTTATATTATTGTTTTTTTTTTAAAAAAAAATATATTTTTATAAAATTAATAAAATATTTAACTTCTTCTTTTTTTTTTTTTTTTTTTTTTAAATAAAATAAATAATTATTTCTATTAATATTTTTAATATTAATTTCTTTTGTTTATAATAAAAAAAAAAAAAAAAAAAAAATTTCAAAAAATTCAAAAAATTCATTCTTTTTTTCAATTACTTTAAATAACTTATTTAACGTATTCAAAAGAAGATAAATTACTATTTTCATCATCTCCTTTGTTAACATTTTTAAGGTTATACTATTAAATTTTATAAATTTTTATAAATATGATAAAAATTAATAATATAAATATAAAAGTATATATATATATATTTATATATATATATATATATATATTTATATTATATATTATTTTTATTTAAATACCTAAGAATATTATTATAATGAAGTGTCAAGAATATGGTAATTTCCAAATCTACTAATAGTTACATAGTGATATCCTTATTTATCAACTCTATTTTAGATATTATCTAATTTAACAATATCATTAACTTTAATAACATTATTGTTATTTTGTTTAATATCGAATTTAATATTGGCACTTTAGTCTCCAATTCTTCCCCTCAAGAAAGTTCCAGCGTCTTTAGTTTCTACATTTAATACGAAAACCTATACATAATATATATATATATATATATATATATATATATATATATATATATATATATATATATATATATATATATTTAAATATAATAAATAACGAGATTAATATTTTATTACTTATCCAACTATATTTTAACGATTAAAACCAGGTTTTAAATCAAAAATGTTAGTAATTTAAGAATAATCATTATCTTTTTAATTAGAGTTATCTCTTTAGTTATTATATCTTTAATTATTATTTCTTCTGTTATTATTCATGTTATTATTACGATTGTTGTAGTTATTTCTGTAATTATCATTTCTGCTATAGTAATCTCCTCTATTGTAGTTATCTCCTCTATTGTAGTTATCTCCTCTATTGTAGTTATCTTCTCTATTGTAGTTATCTTCTCTATTGTAGTTATCCCTATATTAATTACCACCACGGCTATTTTGATATCTATTATTATTGTCTCTTCTTTCAGTTTAATTATTATAATTTCTATTATTATTATTATTATATCTTTTTTAGTTGTTATTGTTATTATCTCTTTAATAGGCTCTTTAGTTTATTTCATTTTATTGATTCTTTTAGTTGTAGTTCTTTACTTTATCTCTAGTATTTTGTCTATTATTATCATTATTTCTCATGTTTTAGTTATTATTGAGGTTTTATACAATTCCGGAATTTGATCTTTATTAATTGTATCCAGAACCAGGTACTCTTTGATTTCTTTAATTATTAAAGTTCTTTCTATTATTCTGATTTCTTCTATTATTATTGTTATTAAATCTTCTGTTATTTTAAACTCTGGTATTTTATTATTTATTTTTATCAAATTCCTCTTTATTATGCTTTTATTCACTCATGTTTTAAAGTTAGGATATGTTAGATACATTGAAGTCAAATTTATTCTTATTTTCTTCTTTTGATGTGTCTATTATACTCAAATCACTATTTTAGTTTAAGGCTAAATAATATTATCCGTCTTAGTTTAATTAACCTAAGACATTCTTTAAAACAATAACTACTCCTTCTTTAATTTCATTTATCTTATGTTATTTTAAATTTTTATCTATTTTAATTATATATATAAAATATAATTATTTTAATTAAAAAAAAAAAGATATTTTTTTTTTTTTTAAAGAAAATAAAATAAAATATTTAACCTTATTTATTTATTTCAAAATTAACTTTTCCAGTTTAATCAAATAAAGTTCCTTTTAATGTATTTTCCTCTTATTATAAATTATAAACCTATAAAAATATAAATATAAAACAAATATGTATATATATATATATATATATATATATATATATATATATATATATATATATATATTAGTTTTTTACTTTTGAAACAAATGTTTGTCCTTATTCATTTGGAGAAAGTTTATTTATTGTCACATAATTTTTTCTTGTGAATGTATCAAATCTAATAGATGATACATCAATGTTTCCGACTGTTTATATATCTTAATCCTTTTTAATATTATATATATATATAAATATATGTATATATATTTATTTTATTACTTATGACAAAACGACATTAGAAAATTCATCACCTTCAATAGTGTGTTTATCGATAAATATTTTCAAAAAGAAATTCACGAATTAAGTTACGCTTCCGACTTTAAATATATTCTAATATCCTTCATCTTTTTTTTATTAAATATATAAATTTATTTATATATATTTTTATTTATTTACCTTATCCTTATTATTGAATAAATCTAAATTCGATTGTCCCATAAGAATCCCCGGCAGTTCCGGAATAAACTACTCTATTTTCTTATTTTAAAACTGAAAATTTGACAATCTTGCAGTTGTTAATATAATATATAAATATAAATAATTATATTATATATATATATAAATATTTTTATGTATCTATTTATATTTATATATATCTATTTACTTTTAAAGAAATTGTTAAACGCCTTTTTCTGCCGTCTAATTATAAATGCTTTAATGAATCTAAGGCTTTTTAATTAAAAATATTATATATGTTTTTGATTTTTGTTTTTGTTTTTTGTTTTACTTTCTTCTTGTTTTTATTTTTATTACATTTTTTTTTTTTTAAAATTATTTAATTTTTTTTTTTTTTGTTTAATTTAAAATATCTTTTTTTTTTTTTTTTTAAAAAAAAAAAAAAAAAAAAAAAAAAAATCACAAAATAAATTATTTAAATCTTTTTTATTTTTTTCTTCTTCTTCTTCTTTTTACAATAATATAAGTAAATATATTTATAATAAAAATATTTTATTTTTTTAAATTTTAATAATAATATTTTTTTTTTTATTTTTTTCAACAATTTATTATATATGTCTAAATATACTTATATATATATATCTCAATTTTTATATCTTTTTTTTTCAAAAAAAGCTCTATTTGAATTAATATATATAACCTTTTTTAAAATAATATCATTTCTCTAAAACAACTGTTATAATTTAGTCCTAATACCTACAAAAATCTTTCATATTTATATCCGTAAATATTATTAATGGCTCACAGAAAGCAAATATTATACCTTTTTTTCTAGAATATTAGACCAAATAGCCATAAGTTGATAAAAAGAAGTATATTTTAATATATACCATGAAATTCAAGGAAATCTTTGCCTTTTTTTTAATTCAAATTTAAATTTTTGGGTCTATAAATGATAAAACATTTAAAAAATTATCATATATATTAATAAAAGGAAAAAAAAATCTTAAAAAGTCTTCTCTTTTTATAAAAAAAATAAATAAAAAAACACATTTTTCTTTAGGATTATTTCTTTCATTTTTTTTCGAGTATAATTAGTTCTTTATTTCCCATATTGTAATATTTTTCTCGATTTTATTTAATAATTAAATCATTAAGGAGTCTAATTAAGTCTTTATTTACTTTTTTAAAATCTATATTCATTTCTATACCTAATTTGGAAAAAAGTTATTCGAATATAGGCGCTTTTCGCCCTTAAGTCTACTTTATAGTATACTTTTTGTCTTTATTAAAGTCTATATTGATTTCTTTTATAAATTCAGGTAGATCTTGGTAATTAAGGTTTTCTATTTTAAAGTTTTTACCACAAATACTGGCTATTTTTACGAGAACCGAATATATGGGCGAAATTGGGAAAAACATCTTTTTTTTAAGGAGAATTCAATATATTTTTTTGATAATTTTAAAGTGATTTTTTATTGTTTAAAATATAAAAAGGAAATTATGAAATAAAAGAATTGAAAAATGTATGTATTCATACATATATATGAATATATATGTATATATTTATATTTATTATGATATGTACTAATATATATAAATATATATATTTAATAATATATATATATATATATATATATATAAATATTATTATATTTATATATATATTTATTTCGTATTTTTTACTACTATATTATTTATATTTTTTAATATTAATTATCATTTATTTATACATTAAGATTATTTTTTTTTCAATATTTATTTTAATCATTTTGAAGAATTATTCATAATATATATATATGTATATACTTATTATTTTAAAAACATATATAAGCTTTCTTTTTATTAAAAATATAGGCAAAACTAGATTTTATAATAGTATTATTGTTTGAGTATATTTTGGGCAACAAAATAAAATATTTATACAATTAAAATTAGTTTTTAATATTTCTATTATTATTCTATATATTTAAAATCATATAAAGGAATTCTTTATAATGAATTTTCGTATATATAAAAAAAAGAATGAAATAATAAAATATAATAAGGATATTTTAAAGGATTCTATACCTTAGAAATAAAAAAAAATATTATTCATATTATTTATTACATTTAGTTTTATATATAGGTAAGTAATATCTTTAAATAAATTTGTATGTATTTTATATAAATATATTAATTTTATATGTATATATAAATAAATATTTAAGTCAACTATAACTTTTGTATTTTTATAATGTCATAAATCTAATTCTAATATATCATATCATTTTTAAATATAATATAAAAATATTGAATAGTATTTTCTAATTTTAGAGAATATAAAGAAATTTAATTTTCTGGTTATATTTATTATGAAAGAAAAATTTAGGATATGTAATTTAATAATATAAAGGATAAAAATAATTAATTATATTATAATAAATATATACAAAAATAATATAAAATAAAAAAAAATATAAATTTATATATATATATATATATATAATATTTAATATATTTATTTATATATTTTCTAATTATATTTTTTATATATATTTTTTTATTTTTAATATAATATCTTTTTTTTTATTTTTTCAGAATATAAACATTTAATTAATTAAATATATATTTTTTATATTCATAATTTTTTTTAATAATTTATATTTATATTTAAATATAAATTTTATATTAATTAAAATAAAAGAAAGTTCATAGAAGTTTTTTTCTCCATTATATCAGTAATTATTAAAGTCCGTTTTTAAGAATAGGTTTATTTATATAATCATTCATTCCACATTATATTGATTTATCTTTATCTTCTTAACCTACATAGGCAGTACAAGCTATTATTATAGGTAATTTTTCTAATTTAACAGACTAATAAAAGAGTATTAATTCTTCAGTTGTTTCATATCCGTTTTTTATAGGCATTTCAATATCCATGAAAATTAACAAAGGAGTTTTACAACAATTATTATTATAAAACATATTTTTTAAATATTCAATTAATAAATTAGGTTCGGAAAATAATTTTAATTAAAAATGATATTGTAGTAATAATTTTTATATGGCATATAAATTAAATTAATTGTCATCTACAATAATTATTTATACGCATAAACATTTACATTTTTTCTATATATTTTAAGCTTTAATTTTTTCTAATATAGACTATTAATCAATAATTTAAGTTTATTAATTATAAATACTATTAATCTAATTTTCTCCGCTATAAGGTTAATTATTAATTTTAATTTAATTATATAAATCATCTATACGGTTATATGAATTAAATCCTTATTATTTAAACTCTTCAGATATATTAATTTAAGATTTACTTTTTATATATAAAGTAGAAGTTGCGATTTCATTTTATTAATCTAATAATTATTATGAATTTAAATCTATATTTTTTTATTTTTGTTCTTATTTATTTTATATTTATTCGTTAATTTGGTTTTAAATTTGTTAAAAATTTTATTTATTTTCATTTTTTTATTAATTTATTACTAAAGGTATTTAAGAATTTTCGTTAGTTAAGTTCATATCCAAACTAGTCTAATTAGAAAAATTAAAATTATGTATTTTTTCTTTATCAAAATAATTAGAAAATTTGTTAATGCAAGAAAATACAGACATATTTAAGTTTGAAATATTTATTTTTTGTTCTAATTGATTTGAAAAACATGAATTATTTAAATTTTCATCATCTTATATATTATTATTATTATTATTTTTATTTTTTATTTAAAATTTATTTTCTAAATTATCTTTTTAATATACGTTATTTTAATCAGAATTATAAATATTTGAAACTTAAATAAAATCCTTCTTTTTCTAATCATTCAAACTTTAAGTATGCATAAATTTTTTCTAAATTAAATTATTTTTGCTATTTAAAGACTATTTATTATCAAGACTTAATAAATCCTAAACTAAAAAAGAAAATTTAGACCCTATTCCATATGTTGATTCGACTTCTATACCACCTATACGAATTCCATTAATATTATTTTATTAAATAAGTCCTTTAGCTATAGAATTTGAAATAGTTAAACCTAGACCACATCCTTAACTATTTAATTGTTCATCTTATTATTAATAATCTATCTAATATTATTTAAAAATATATAAATATATATAAATATGTAAATATTTAAATTTTTATTTATATATATATATTTTTTCAATTTTTTTACTTTATTACAAAAGTTAAAAATTTTTTCTAGATTTTCTGATTTTATTCCAATACCTGTATCCTATATATAAATTTAATATACATTTTTTAAATTTTTTATTTATTCAAATCCTATTGTAATAACTCCATCATTTTTTGTAAATTTTAACGAATTACTCATTAAATTTAATAGAATTTATCTTATTCTATTAGGATCTGAGCATATTTCTAAATTATCAAATTCATTTATATTGATTTTAATTTAAATTTCTTTCATTTCAGCTTAAATACTGAATAATTTTCCACAATCTTTTAACAAATCAATTACTTTGAAATTCTGAAATGCATATTTAAATTTATCGCTATCCATTTAAACGAAATCTAAAATATCATTAATCTGATTCAGTAATAATTTATTTGAATACAAAGCTGGAACAATATATTATTCTATATATTCTTATTAATTATCATTTATGAGTTCTTTCAAAATCTCCAACATTGATATAGAGCAATTCAAAGGAGTCCTTAATTCATGCGAAAGACTTGCAAATACACGAAACTTATTCTTTTGTAGAACTTATATCATTTCTTATTAAGGTTCTTGCCATACCTCGTTTATTAATATAAATATTAATGTGTCTTTTAATTAATCATTTATATATATATCAACTAATATAAAATTAAAGTTTAGTAATTTATCGTTATATTTAACCTTTTATATTAAATATATATATAAATATAGTTTATATATTAAATATTATCTAAATTTAAATAAAATTTATGAATAATAAATTATAATTACTTATACTATATATGATTAATCTTTTAGTTATTAAATATATAAAGAATTTAAATCTTTACTATTAATTAATTTATCAGTAAAAGAATTCCTTTACTAATTTAGTTAATCATCATTTTGGTCTTTTTATAAATATATATATATATATATATATATATATATATACATATTTATATATTTATATATTTATCTATTTTTATTTTAATATATTTACTCATTTATATTATAGATAATTTATCTAATTAATCATTTTAACTAATTATAAAATTTATGACTTTTTCCATAGATGTTTATTTTATTTTTAATTACCCACAATTTAATTCATTAAAATTTTATTTATATCCTTTAATAATATAAATAATTTTTATTTATTTTTTTACTTTTTTTAATTTTTAAATTTTTTAATTAACAATAACTATTAATAATAGTTTCTTTTTTTATATTATTATATTTATCTATATTATTTTGTTATTTATGATTATTTTTTTATTATTAATTATTATTATTTTATTAAATATTTTTAATTATATTTTTTATTTTATTTTTTTTATTTTATATTTTCAATATTATTTTTTTATTCATGTTTTTTATTATATTATCTATTTTCGTTATTTACTTATTATTTTTTATCATTTTTATTTAATAACTTATCATTTAAATTTAAAAAATAGTTTTAAATGATATCAAAAGGTTCTTTTTTGCAAGTATTTTAAGAGTTTAATATATTTTAAAAATTTATATTATCTACATTCTATTTAAAAAAATTCAAATTTAATAAAAACTGTTTAATGTCTTAATTGTTAGTTTTTTTTGTTAATTATTATATATACTTATTTGAATATATAATATTTTTATCTTATTTCATTAAAATTAAGCCATTAGGTATTATATTTAAAATACTTTAATATATTTTAATTGATTACTAAATTTCTATTAATTGTTCTTCTAATTATTATTACTATTAATTTACTGTTTATTTATATAAAGATGATGTAATCATTTGTTTATCATATTTATATTATTAGGTTAGAATTATTAAAGTATATAAGATAAACAATACAGCTTAAATAGAATATATGCTTTCATTAATACAAACTCTTAAAAATAAATAAATATTACAGGTGATCTAAAAGTATTTATATTTAATTTTTTTTATAAGTATATGAAAATATATTTAACTGTATATATGACTAAATTAATATAATAAAACAATGTTTTGGACATTATTTTTTACATTATATACCAAAAACTCTGCTAATAATGTGTAATTACTAAATAGAATCAATAAATTAAAGTAATTTTTAAATTTTCGGTACTTGAAACTATAAATATTTAAGTTAGAATAATTTAAAATAAGTAAGAAAAATGATAAACAAATATAAATAGAAGAAATTAATTTTTTATCAGGAATTAAAAAGTTTATTATCGAAATTGTTATGTTAAATAATAAGCAAATAAATTAATTTAAATATTATAGAATTGGTTAATTATTTTCTAAAAAATTCATTTTTTTTTGTAACTTTTATGTTTAATATATTTATTAATTAATTTTTTAAAATATAAAGTAAAATACAATTAAAAGTTATTTAAAAAATTAGGAAATTTTCTATTTCATAAAAAAAATGCCTATTTATTAATACTTTTAAATAAATTTTTATTATTTTATTAAATATATAAATTTTAATTTAAAAAAAATTATATTATTAAATTTTAAATTTATAGTTATTAATTTATTTTAAATAAATATAATAAATATAAAATATTATAATTACTATAAATAATATATTTATTATTATTATTATTATTATTATTATTATTATTAATATTAATAATATTATTAATATATATTTTTTTTTATATTTTTTATTATTATTCAATTTAAATTTCTTCCACCTCTCATTATATAATCTTTTTCTTCAATTGATTACGAATTTTTTTTTTCATATATTCTTTAATAATAATTTGATAATGCCTCATGCTTTTAATTAATAAAATAATAATTAAATATACAGAAACTAATTCCTTAACAAACAGAATTTTTTAGAAGCGATGGTATTATTCCTTTATAAATACTTGATATTCCTTCTTTTTTGTAAATTTATTTTATAAAATCATTAAAATTATTAGGGCATTATTTTTTTAAGGTTTAAATAACATATCTAGTATAAATAAACTCTAATGGATGTAAAATAAATGTACAAATACCCGAACAAATAAAAGCACTGAAAGAAACTAGTGTATATTCATTTTTTATATATCCTCCTTTATAGAATTTATTAAGGATTTAAAAATATAAATAAACTTCAGAAAAAGCCAATAAATTATAATATAGTAATCCTGATTTAAATCCCGTTGAGAAAAAAAAGTTTTATTTTCCTTTATGAAAAACCCTAATATTATTATATTTTTATGAATAAGTTTCGTATTTTATACTATCTTAGCCTAATGGCTCACATTAGATTTTTATTTTTAATACATTTGTAGGCTATTATACTAAGAATGTCAAAGAAGTAGCTCCAAAAGTTCCTAAATATATGACAAATTCGGAAAGTTATTATTATTAAGTTATATTTTTTCTGTCAAGTAAAAAATCAAAAAAAAAAAATCTTGCAATATTTGAAAATAACATTCGGTCTATATTAGCCTTTAAACCATAAAATAAACCAAAATGATTTTCTTTTTTGATTATTTCATTATATATTTATGGTGTTTCTAAAAAAACGTATTTCGATTATAATTACGAACGTGCGATTTCGCGTATTTTTAATCTATCAAAAGGATATGTAAGAGTTTCTGATATTAATGTCACAATAGAAATTACACCTAATTTTCTAAAAAAGGTTTTATCCGAAAAATCAAAATAGTTTATTTACATAAAATATAAGTATATTAAATTATAAAAGATAATTATATATATATATATATATATATATATATATATATATATATATATATATATATATATATATATATATATATATATTTATTTTATTTTTTCACACTTATTTATTCTTTTTATATTGTAGGTATTTTTATAAGTGTTTTTTTTTTTCTAATACATATATATTTTAAAATAATGATTTTATGTAATTTATATATTAATTATGTATGTATATAATAATTAAGAAAAAAAAAAAAAAAATACAACTAAATTTTTCGAATTTATCATTTATTATTATCGAAATCATTATTTTGCTAAAAAAAAGGTTAAATAATACTTATTTATGGAGTTCCTTATAATAGAATTTAACTTTCTTTTCTTTTTTTAAAAAAATCTTATTAGTTAATTTTGTGTACATTTATTCCTTGTATATTTTTATTTTCTTTATCTTTCTTTTCTTCTAGTATTTCTTTTTCTTTATTTTTTATGTCTTTTTTATTCAAAATAATATTGCATTTTTTTTAATTTAAACTCATTTCATCATCTTCCTCATCTCCTTAAACTTACCCTTTTCGAATTTCATTTTATTATGCTATTTTACTCATTAAGTTTATTTAAACAAGTTTCTTCTCTTCACAATGTCCTAAATAAACTCCATAAATACTTAATAATACACCTATTAATGTAGAATACATTATCATTATCATACCAGCCCTATTACTTACATAAGAGTTTAATAGCCCATATAAAGTTGGTGCAGGTAAATAACCCAAAAGACTTTAAAAAGTCTAAGAATTACTATTAGCAAATCCTCTAAATTCTGCTTCGACTGAACTTAGCATCATTCCTGTGAGTCCTGGAACCATAGCCCCCCCAAAGAATAACAGACACCAAATAGAAGATGCTGCTAAATAAAAACTATCAAAAAAAGGGACAGGGCATGCTACTAGAGATGATATACAGGCTAAAAATAAGGAGATTTTTTTAGCATTAAAGCTTTCATATCCACCTAGTTTTTATGTTAGAATACCTCCGAAAAGTACACCTAATGTAGGAGCGGTCAGAGAGACTATAGAATAACAGACAAGTACAGTATATTAATTAACTTTTAATACTACTATAAAATAATCGGACATCCAAAATTATATACCTGTTACTACAAAATATAATAAAGTAATAGTTAGCATAGAAATTATATAGAGCTATATTAAATATATATATTATTAAATTTATATATGTAAATATTAGTTTATTTTAAACTTTTGATTTCCAAAGTTTTTTAAAAAGTTAGAAAAAACTTAAAGAATAATAATAAATATTTATTTAGTTTTCTTGTTATTTATTGTCAATTATTTCTATTTATTATGGATAAGTTATAGATTTTTATTATTTTTATTCTTCATTAGAATTTTATTCGTTTTAAGAATGAATTACTAATTTATAAAAATATATTAATTGTTAATATTTTATATTATTACTTTGATTTTTTTTTTAAAAAAAATTATAAACAAATATAAAAAGATTATAAGGAGGATAAATTACATTGAATTTATTATTAATATAAAATATGTATTTAAAAAACCCAATTTATAAAAAAAACAAAAAGTCATATCATTTTTTTAACTTTTTTATTTTTTTTATATTGAGTTTCTTTTATTTATAATAGAAAAAATTAAATATTTATATTTTTAAATTGAATTATATTTATATATATATACCTTAATTTGATTCTTTGTGTTTCTAATTTATATTCTTTGTTTCAGTTTTCTAAAATTAACTTAAATTGATTTCCATTTTTTCGTTTTTTAAGAATAAAAAGAAAATTAAAGGTATTCCACAAAAAATACATTATATATAGAATGAAAATCTCCACTTTAATTTTTTTTTTAAAATATATTGTTTAATTAGTTTATTTATACTCCCAATGTATCACAAATAGAAGCTGTTATTGCGTACCCTATAAATACTCCTAAAGGTACTCCTATTTATAAAATAGTTAACCATAATGTTTTAATTTCTCCTCCTAAAAGCTTATTTTTATATATATTTACATAATATATAAATAAATATTTTACATCAACCCATACAGGAAAATAAACTAATAAAAAAACTTAAGCTACTCCTGTTAAATATCTTATGAAATATAACGGATATATTGTTGAAAATAATGTAAAAGAATATAATATTATAATCATGAGAATAAAAGATATTAGAATAATTTTTTTAGAACTGTATTTTAGATGTAGTTTACCTGCAAAAAAGCCTGCACTTATTATTCCAAAATATACAAAAGAACCTAATAGACCTAATTCTGCATCTCCTACTTTTAAATCTTCTTTTATTTATTTAGTTGCTGCAGGAATTATACCATGATCTACATTAATGAATATATTTGAAAGACATATGAAAAAGAAAACCATTTTTGAACCATTTTATACAGGCTTTTATTTTTTTGTATATTTTTCACTTTGATTTTATCCTATTATTAAATTTTCTTATAATATTTCTTTGTTTTTTTGTATATTTTACATTTTTTTTTTTTTTTTTAAAATAATATATTATTCTAAAAATTTTGGTTTTTGGCGAATTTTATTTTTTTTATAAAAAATAAAATTAATTTTATACGATAAATAATATAAAAAAAAACAAAAATATTAAATAAACTTATATATTATTTTTTAAATGTATGTTCATATAAATTTTACTAATATATAAGAGAAAATTTGATGTATTTATTTATTTTACAATATAATATAAATAATAATATTATAATTTAAAATAAATAATATATATAAATATATATTTATATATATATATATATATATAAAATATATACACAAAAATATTTATAATAATCAATAAAAATGTTCATTAGATAAAAATTTTCTTGTATTTCTTTAATTATTTTCTATTTTTTTTATTAACTCATTATATTTCTTTTTATTTTATTCCCAAAAAACATTTCTTTTACCAAAACTTAAATTATCGTCACTTAAAGCATATTGATTATGTGTAGCTGTAGAATTAAAGCTCAAAAAATCTCCTAAACCATGTATATTTTATATATTATCGTTACTTTTAGTATTTATTTTTTCCTTTCTTCGTTTTATTTTTCAAAAATAATTTCTATTTTATTCGATAAAGGTTCATTTTCTTCCTAATTAGTTATTATTTAGGACTAAAACAATGGATTTTCTTAAAATTTAGGTGATTATTAATCACTACTAAGTATTTATTATTATTCAAGGAAATTCAAAGAATCCGAATGTGAAAATAAATCTTTATTTTCAAAAGATATATAGACTGATTTAGGTTAATTTAAAAATGATTTCTATTCTAAAATAATTTAATTTCTAAATAAATTTTCTGTATATTTACTTGTTTTAATAATATTATTAAAAGACTAAGTAATTTTATCTATAGCATTTTCAACATATTTAATATTATTAATATTTTATATTTTGAAGATTAGGAAATTAATGTTATTTTAATCTTTTTAATTTTCGAAGTTCTTAAGCATTTCCTCATATTCTAACATTATTTCATTCAGTGTTTTTTAGTCCATTTCATTAAGAATATCATTATAATTATTATTAATATCTTTTTCAGTTGAAATTAATTAATTTAATATATTTTATATGGGAAATTCTTTATTTTTACATAAAGAAAGACATTCATTTAAATTTAAATTTAATTCTTTCTTTTTTTCAGTTATTAAATTTTCAATACTTTTTTGAAGTTTTTCTTAAGTTTAATCTAAAAATTCGATGTTTTTATGATAATTTTCTATACTTTTTTCCTTTCTTTCTTTTAGAAATTCCATCATTTATGTGTACTCGTTTTTTATTTTATCTAGTCGTTCTGTAAATACTTCTAACTGTTTTTTTTTTATGAAATTTCTTTGTTTTCGCAAATTTTAATGTTTACATTGTTTAATACTGCATTTAATTATTATTTACTATTACTTAAATTATATTCTTTAGTTTTCGTTAATAAAAAACTTATATTTTGTGTAGATTATTAAATTGTTGTCTATTGAGAAAAATAATTCTTGCTTTTTATAGTTTCTGGAAGAGTTTTTTGGGTAGTAAATAGAGACTTTTGGTTTATTTTTTATGGCTTTTGGATTATTTAGTTATTTGATTTTAATGTAGAGGTTCTCTTTTGGCTTGTTTGTGATAGTTGGTTTTGTTTTAAGAGTGGAGATGTATCAAATATTTAAGTGTTTAATTTACTTATTTTCATTCTATTATTATTTAAATAATATATACCTTTATTAAATTATATTGTTTAATTTTTTTTTATTTATTTTTTTAAATTTTACTTTTTTTTCTTTTTAATCTAAAAAAAAAATTATTTAATATTTTATTATTATTATTTTTGTATTTTTTTAAATACATATATATATATATATATATATTAATAAAATAAATACACCTATATATATATATATATATTTTATTAATAATATTATATATATATATATTTATATATTTTATTTAGAGTAACTGAAAAAATAAAATTTTGATATTAAAAATAATAAAATATTATTAAAATTTTAATATATGTATATTTGATTTTATTTAACTAAAAAAAGGCTTTTTATATATATGTATATATTATTTATTTAAAAAAAAAAATTAAAAATAATAAAATCTCATTAATAAAACACAAAAATAAAAATATGCTTAAATTTAATTTAAAATAATCATTTTTTTAATGTTCCTCTAACATCAGCAGCTTATCTATTACAAGTTTAAGAAATATCAGAAATTTTATCTTTATCGACATTAGTAGGTCCTCCATTAGCATAAACTCCAGTATATTATGATTTATCATCATGGAATTTTACATAATCAGCCTTAGTACCTTAAAATTAAGGACCTCCAGCTGAAGTAATATTCTTTATAACATCTTCAACAGATACTCCTTTTTTAGCTGCTATTTAGGATAAACCAGATTCGAATTATTTGAAAGTAATTGTACGAACAGCAGATGATGTTTTAACTTTTGCAAAAATTAAATCGACATCGGTTGAAGTTAATTTCTTGTCTTATAAGTGACAATCTTTGGTTACTTTAGCGAAGGTTTTACCGTCCATTTCAGCTTTTCCAGAGGTAAAAGCTTTAAAACATGTTTCGAGACTTTAACTTTCCATTTATTTTGTTTAGTTTTTTTTTTTTTTTTTAAATTATATATTTTTTATTTTTATATATTTATTTATATTATAAATTTAGTTTTTAAAATGATTTATTTTATATTAAAATAAAATTTATTTAATTAATTTATTTACCACTATTTCATTTTATTTGACGATTATATTCTTATTTATATATAAATAAAATATATATAGTAGATTTTTATATATTTGTAAATTAATAGAAAATATATATTTAATTTAATAAATTTCTATATTTGAAAATTTAATTTTTTGATAAATAGGGTTATGAGTATAAACCATTCTTAAATAATTATATAAAATTATTTGAATTATAGGAAAAAGTGAATTTAATAAAAAATAAAAAAAAATTAAAAAAAAATAAGTCATGATAAAATAAAATAAATTAATGTTTAATATAAAAAAATATTGTATTAATAAATAACCTTAATTAAGAATATAAAAATATATTTTATAATAAAAATATATATATATGATTGTAACTATATATCTATATATAAATTAAAAAATATATATAATTATATGTATAAATATAAACAAATATATATATTTATATATATATATATATATATATATATATATATTTATATATATATATATATATATATATATTAATTTTTTTTTTATATATATAAACATAACCTTTTTTAATTAATTATTTTGTTTTTATTATTACATATACATATATATTTTTTTTATATTATATATCTTTTATTTATAAATAATATTATTAAAATTTTTTATCTTTTATTTATTTTATATTATATAAATTTATTTTGTATTTCTATTATACATTTTTTTATTTTATAATTTTATCATTTTTTTTTTATTGTATAATACAATCTAATTCTCAAAATATTTTTTTTTGTTATTTTATATAACAATTATTCTTCTTTATTTTAATTTAAATTTTTTAAATTATATTATAAATATTTATTAATAATATATAAATAATTTTTTAATATTGTATTTATTCTATTTATATATTATACAGGCTTGAATAAGTTTTAAATTTTTAATATTCTTTTTTTTTATTAAATTATTCTGTTTTTTTTTTATTACTAGTTTTATCAATATATATTATTTAATATAATTATATGATATTTGGTCTATATACAATTCCTTTTTAATCTATTCATATTTTTTTAATTATATATGAATTTTTTGGAAAAATAGTTTATTTTTATAACTTATTTATATATTATTTAAGATTTTTTTTTATATTTTTTATATTCAAAAATAGTCACTTGGATTTATTTTTAAATTAAAATGTGTTTTTATATTTTTTTATTTTTTATTTTTTTATTTTATATGAAATATAATTTCGAATATATTAATTATTTTATTTCAGGATTATATCATAATTTAATATTTTATTTTAATAAAATATTATATTTTTTAATGTTTAGACTATATTGTATCGTTGTAACTTATAATAATTTTAAATATATTCTTTAAATAATAATTTGAAATTAGCATAGAGAAATTAATTATTATATTTTTTATAATGATACATAAATTATACTTTTTTTTACTTTTTTATAACAAAAATAAATTCGATATTTTTTAGTTTTTTATGTATTTTTTTTTTTTTTTTCCCAAAACATATAATTATATATATTAAATAAAACAAAAAAAATTATAGTTTTTTTTTTAAAAAATATTCATAATAAAAAAAGTACATATTTTTATTGTTTATATAGACATAAATTTATAAATTTCTTATTCAGAAGTTTAGTTTAGTTATTGTTTTTATTTATATATAATTTATTATTTTATGAATTTATTAAAAATATTTCTTCTTATAAATTAAAATTGATATCAAAGTATCATTAAATTAATCTCAATAATATCGAATATATTTATGAAATAATATAATTTCTTAAAAAACAATTCGTTTTTTTTAATAAAAAAAATATAAACTAAATAATTAGTTTCCATTAATTATTTATTGAATAAAAGCCAAAATTAAAATAAAAAATGAATTAAAAATCATATCATTAATAAACAAATTATAAAGATAAAAATTATTTGATAACAAAATAAGAAAAATAAATTTTAATATATTTATTACTAAAATAAAAATTATAGATATATATAAAATAGTATTAATATTAAATAAAATAATCAATAATCAATATGATTTGCTGTATATTCTTAAAAGAAATAACATAATGCAATATATGAATATTTAAAAAAATAATTAATAATTTTAAAAAATAAATAATAAAATTATATAAAGATCAATTATTAAACAATTTTATCAAATTTTAAATAAAAAGATACCTTTTAGATATCCATTTAAATTATAAAAAAATAAATATTATAGTTAACAAAAATAGGTCTTTATTAATGTTTATATTTTTTACAAGAATAAGATTAGATAAAATCTAATAAAAATAAATTTATTATATTAAAAATAAATATATTAAAAAATAAAAAAAGTCATATAGAAAAATAATATTATATAATTAAGAATTTTTTTATATATTTATAAATGTAAATAAAAAAAAAATTAATATATAAGAAATTTTAAAAATTTGAAAAATTTAAATATAATAAATATATATATATATTATAATTTTATATATAAATGTAATAATTTATATAAATCATATATAAATTAAGTTATAATTAAAAAAAAATATCATTAATAAAGGTAAAAAAGTAAAAATGTAAAAATTTAATAATATAAAAATTTATTAAATAATAAGATTAATAAATATGTAAAGTTATGAAAATATTAATAAATATTTTATATTTAAATAAATTATATTTAAAAAATTGTTATTTATTTTTGAAAATAATATTTCAAAATTAATTAATAAATAAAAAAATAAATTTTAAAAAAACATAAAAAATATAAATATTTATATAAAAAAATATATATATATATATATATATTTATTATTTAGAAAATATTAGATACAATTTAAATTTTTTATTTACTTTATAAATTAAAAATTTTTATTTTAAAAAATACTATCTTTATTTATTTAATTGTATTTTTCTAATTAAAAAAATTATATAAAAATGAATTTCAATTTTTTTTATTTATTCAAAAGTAACAAGATTAATAAATATTTATTTTTATTAAAAAAAAAAAATGTTTATTAAAAAAACTAAAATAATATTTAGTTTTTTGAATATAATAAGAGAAATTTCAAAATGCTAAAATAAAAATATTTTAAATTTATATGTAAATATTTAATAAAATAAAAAAAAATTAAAAAAAATAATATATATATAAATATATATATTTATATATATATATATTTAAATATACAAAAATATTGCTTAAAGTTTACAACTAGTAATGAAAGAAAACTATCTGTTTAATAATTAATGGCTTGTTAAAAAAAAAGTTTCCTAAGGCAGTTTTGGTATAGTATATATCGGTATGGATAAAAACACTAAAGAATTCGTAGCGATCAAACTTGAAAAAGAGTATAATCAAGAGGTACGTAGTTTAGAAAGGGAAGTTTTAATTTTATAATAGCTCGAAGGTGTTCCCAATGTACCTAGATTATATTGGAGCGGTTAAGAAAATAATTATAATATAATGGTATTGAATTTATTAGGACGTGATTTATCATATTATATGAAAAATTTTAAAAAAATTTCGTTAAAAAATGTTCTTATGTAAATTGATTAATTATTAACAATTTTAGAAAATATTCACAATAGATTTATTATTCATAGAGATTTAAAACCTGAAAATATATTAATGGGAAGAGATAAAGAAACTCACATGGTCTATTTAATAGACTATGGGATTTCTAAAATATATAGAGATGAAAGCGGAAGACATATTAGTTTTAAAGAAGGAAAACCATTTGTTGGAACTACTAGATATGCTTCTATAGCAGCTCATTTAGGCCATGAATTAGGAAGAAAAGATGATTTAGAAAGTATGGCATATGTAATGATTTTTTTATTAAAAGGAAATTTACCTTGGTAGAATTTACAGAATGTTAATGATAAGGATAAAACTTAGGTACTATATTTTATATAAATTATATATAAATTTAAATAAAATTTTCAGTATAAATTCTTATATATATATTTAAACAATTAGAATATATACAATATTATATATTAATAGTAATTTAAAAAAAAATATTATTGATATTAAATTTAAATTATACATAAAAAAATTTAAAATAATTAAAATTTAAATTATTAAAAAATATAATAGTTAATAATAAAATGAAATATAAATAATATATATATATATATATATAAATATATATATATATTTATATATACATTAACCATTATATATATTATTAAAATTGTAATATTTTATTTATTTTTAATTAATTAAATTTAATTATTTAATAGTAAATTAATAATTTAGAATATATTTTTTTAATAAATTATATATTATATATTATATATTAAATATTAATTAATTTTTTTTTATGAAAATTAATTATAAATATATTACATTTTATATATATATAAAATTATTATTAAATATATTTATTTATTTTTTTTAAAAAAAAATTAAGCTTGTTGGTGATATTAAATAGAAAACTAAAACCACTGAATTATGTAAAGATTTACCTATAGAATTTGTGAAATATCTAGATTATGTGAAAAAACTCAGTTTTAAATAATAACCTGATTACTAATATTTAAAAAATATGTTTTATAAACTTGGTTAATCATTGAAAATTCGCTATTTTGAGAACGATTGGGATTGGACTGAAAAAAATAAACTTAAAGGTGGCGAACAATAATAATAAGTAGTATAAAGGAACGATTATAAAAGACTTACTCATAATACAGGTTATTAGCCTTTTTAAAGAAATAATAATAAAAAACTAACAGTCTAACATGGTATTATTAGAAATGATAATAAGAAATATACAATTAATAAATCTCCAGAATAATAAGACTATTAATTAAAATTACCTGGATAGGAAGGAAGTTAAGATAGAAATAATTCTTTAACTCCTTCTTTAAGATCAGCATTTAGAAAAACAACAGGAGGAACATTCAATGGTTCAATATAGATAAAGTATTAGTAAAGTTAAATATGTAAATAAATAAATTCAAAATAAGAATTTGATGATGAAGATGAAGATAATATAAATAAAAAATAAGGGTAATAAAATTTTCAAGATATTGATGAATATGAAGAAATTGAATAAGCTCTATCAAAGAAATTACAAACACTTAATTAACAATAAGTTAAAGCGTAAATAAAAAAAATATATATATACATATATATATAAATATATATATAAATATATATATATATATATATATATATTTATATATATATTATCTTTTTATAATTTTTTTTATTATTTTTAGTATTTTTAAATCGAATAATCATATTTGAAGTGAAAATTTTTCTTTTAATATTGACTAATTTGTGTAAATTATTAATAATATTTTTGTAAAATTTAAATTATAATATATATAATTATATTAATTTTTTTTATATAATATATATTTTTAATTTTATAATAATAATATTTATATTAATTATAATATAGTTTATAATAATATTTCTAAATAAAATTTAAAAATAAAAAATTTAAATAACCAAAGATACTTGTCTCGTCTTAATTTAGATAATCTTTATATAAAATCTAGTCATTTTAAAAAAATTAAATAATTTAAATTTATATATAGTAATAATTGAAAAAAATATATATAATATTTGATAATTTAAATAAAAAAATTATATTATTTTTAAAATATGTAAAAAAATTACAATTTTTTATATTTTATAAAATATTATAATAAATTTATATTTTATTAAAAATAACATTGTAAATTAAAAGTTAATAATGATACAAAGATAATAATAATATATAAAAATAATATAAAATTTATTCCAAGTAGATATATTTTCAAAAAAATTAAAAAATTTTAAATGATTAATAAAATATTATCTATTAAATATAAAGTAATAAAAAAATTTTAATAATAATATATATATAACATTCAAAATAAAATAAAAAAAAAATAATAGTTATAATAAAAAATAATAAAAAAATAATAATAATAGAAATAAAAATAAAAAAATAATAATAATAAAAATAATATTAATAATAATAATAATAATAATAATATTAATATTATAAATAATAATAAAAGCAATAATAATAATAATAATGTTTATTTAAATAAAATTAAAATATATATTAAATTTTTATAATAGTTTTTATATTTTTATATATATTTTATAGTATTAATTATTTGTATAATAAATTATAGTTTTTTTATTTATAATAATTTAATATATTAAAATTAAAAAATATTTATTATTAATTTATTATTTAAAAAAAATTAAATTATTAATTTATTTTTAAGAATAATATATCTTAAATTTTTTAATAATTATTATAATTATAAATTTTTAAATATAAATTTTAAATATTAATGATTTACTTATACTTTTTATTGTTAAGATTATTAATGTTATTATATATTATAGTTTAAATATATATACATACATACAATCTTTTTAATAATTTTAATTTAAAAATTTTTATAATTTTTTAATTCAAAAATTTATAATTTATTTAAATTTAAATATTTTTTAATTAATATAAATATATATTTATTTAATTTTTTTTTCAATTTTTTTTCTTTTTTACATTTTATACAGCCATAAATTATACAAAGATTTACATTTACATTTATTTATAAAATTTTTTAGGATAATAAAACATTATTTATCACAATTTTAATTGATATATTTATATAATTATCTATAAAAATAATATATTATTGATATTGAAAAAAGCTTTTTTTTATATTTATTCTAAATTTTTATAATTTCAATATATCTATATTTATTTATCAACCTTATATACATAATATTTTAACTTTTTTTTTTAATGTACATGTCTTAAATTCAATACAAAAATATAAAATATAATGTTGGTTTTTGCAGAAATTTCAGTTTTAATTTTATAATTTGATTTCGAGATTTTGAATTTATTTAAATATTTTTAAAGGATTTAAATTTTAAGTTTATTAATTTTTATACTTTCTAGATATGAATCAAATTAATATAAATTTTTAAATTATAATATTTAAATGTCTTATTTTGGTTTTATATTTCAACATTATAATGGGGTTTTCTAAAAAATATTTTCATTTAAAGATAAATTATTGTTACTTTAATATTATATTAATTAATTTTTTATGTATTTTATTAACTGAAATAATTACTATAATTACACTTTGTATTAAATTCTTATTCCACTAATATTATATCTTAATTTTAAATATTAATAACATTTATTATAATTATTATAAAAACATGGAATTTTATATAATAACGTAAATATATAGTATTTCATTATTTAAAAGTGTTACTTATAATAAATGCACAAAAGATTAAATAAAGATTATTAATAAAAAATAAAAAAAGAATTTTATACATCTAAAAAATAAACTTTAAGATAATGGATTAGAAGAAATTTATTATTGTAATATATTTAATTAAAAAAATTGTTAATAGTATATAAAATATAAATATAATTAAAATAAATAATTTGATAATATAAAAAATTAATTATATATATATATATATATATTTATATATAAATTTATATATATTCATATATATTTATAAATATTTTAGAAATATTTATTTTTAAATATTTAGAATTTTTATTTTTAAGATAAATTAAAAATGCATTGAATTCATTATTTAAAAACTCATTAAATTAATTTGTATTTTTTTATTCATATTTTTTATAATTTTATATATTAATATATATTTTAATTTAAAAAAATATTATTTTTATTAATACAAATGCAAATTAATAAAATCCTATATTTATAGTATTTTTATATATTATATTAGATTAAATATTTTATATTAGTATTTATTGTTTATTGTTTATATAAAATTTTAAATTTTAAAGATGTTATTTAATTATTTAAATGCTATTTTTTTTATTCAAATAAATGTAAAATAAATAAATAAACTATAATATTTTAAATAAAAAATAAATAAAATAATTTTATAAAAAATTTTCTTTGTATCTATATTTATAATTTTATAATTTTAAATTTATTAAAAAAAATTTAATAATAAAAATAATAAAATTTACAATATAATATAATATAAATTGATTTAAACATATACTTTAATAATAATTTTATATCTTTTAAATTTATTTTTAATAAAAATATTAATATAAATTTTTTATTTTTACTTATAATTATAAAAATATATAATATATTTTTAATATTATTAATAAAAGCTAAATATATTAATAAAAGCTAAATATATTATGTATTTTTACAAAGACTTATTATTTATCTTTAATATATGAATATTATTCATCTTATATATTTTAAATGGTATTAATAATTAAAAATTATTTAAAAAAAATATATATATTATAATAAGCATATAAATTATATTTATATATAAATTATTTTATAAAAAAAATTGACACTAAAAATTATAAATATCCTCTATTATTTATTTTTATATATTTTTAAATAATTTATATTTAATTTTTTTTTACACGATTCTCAATTCTTTTTTATTAACATATAAAAGATTATGTCTATATATATATTTTTTTTATAATATTAAATGCTTAGTGGATAAAATTATAGTATATATAAAAGTTACAAACATAAAACTTTATATTTTAATTTCTTTTATTAATTAAAGAATGTTAAATATATTTTTATATATTGGATTGGCCTTAATAAAATTGTTAATTTTAATAAATTAAATAAAATATATATTTATATTTTTTAAAAGTTATTATTTTTTTTTTTCAATAAAACTTTATTTTTAATTACTTTTTTTATCAAAAAAATTTTGTTTATAATAAATAAATAAAGACATTTAAATATTATTTTTCAACCAATTTAATATATAAAAATAATAAGTTAATTATATTTCTTATATATATATTTCCTATTTTTTTGTTTTTATAAATTTTTCAAATTAAAAAATTCTGAATAAACACTATAGTTAGACAAATAAAAGTTATAATATCTATTATTTTGAATTTATAAATAAAAAATTATTTATAAATACTAAAATATATAGTTATTTTTGTATAAAATAATAATGAATAAAATATGTTTTTTTTTTTTTTTTTAATATATTAAATTATCATAATTTAATAATCCCCTTTATAATTAAAATATAGTAAAAAAAAAAATTAAATATATATATATATTTAAATATATTATAAAAAAAAAATATATATATATATTTAAATATAATAATAAAATAAAAAAAAATTATATATATATTTGATTGGATATAAGTAGATATTTAATATATATAATTAATAAAGCATCTATATTTTTCTTTTATCTAATTAATGTAAATAAATTATCTAATAAACATATATATTTATTTTTTTAATCACAAATATTTATTTATTTATTCATAAAATTTATTTATTATATATAAACATTTATTTATCAATTCTTAAAAATAAAAAAAAAAATGTAAAAAGTTTAATTATAATCTTTAAACAATATTCTATATGGTTTTTCAGATAAAGCAATTGAAATTAAAAACAATATTCATATAATTCATGAAAACTAATCAGAAACAAATAAAAAAGAAGAATCCTTAACAAATTAATCACTGTTATAAAATATAAATAAATAAAAATCTGAAGAAGATCTTAATAATAAAGAACTTTATGATAGAATTATTAAATTAGACAATGTTGATTTATCAGATTAGGAACATGCAAACGTTATTTATTTAATTTTTTTGTTTAATTAAAAAAAAAATTTATATATTTAGGTTGCTTTATAAATTATAAAAAAACAGTAAAAACTAAGGAAGAATTATAATATTTAAAAAAAGCTATATAAGGATTAAGCTTATTTGTATAAAACAAAGAATTGTTTGAAGATAATTAAATAAATTTCAAATTATTTTAACATATAAAATATTAATATTTTCCTAAAAACTAAACTATTTTTAATATTGGTAAACTTACACAAATCATTATTAAAAATAAATATATTTTTAATATATATATAAAGGTGAATTAGGTTATAACTATTATATTATTTTAAAAGGATAAGTTTATTGTTTAATACCTGATTCTAATTATAATAAAAGAACAGAAGAAAAATAAAACAATTCTACTGCAATAAAATCTAATCATGTAATAGATTCTCCATCTAAATTTCCTTAACTTAAGTTATAAAAATTATATATTCATATTTAATAAAAACTTATATATTTATATAAAAAAAAAACAAAAAGATAAAATAATTGCTAAATTAATTAAGAAGACCAAAATTAGATCTTAAAAAGAATGTTTCCAAATTTAAATGTAGCGAAAATATACAATCCTGGAGAAGCATTTGGTGAAATAGCATTGCTTACTAATTCTACAAGGTCTTTTTTATAAAATAATAATAAAAATATTTATAAAATAAAAAAGAACGGCTACTATGATGTGTAAAGAAAATACACATTTAATAACTTTAAATAAAGAAGGTTTTGATAATCTTTTAGGCTTTTATAAAGAAAAGGTTACAAGAAATCGTCTTGAATTTTTAAAATAATTTTGCTTTTTTCGAAACATTTATCCCTCTAAGTTAATGTCTATTTATTTATCTATGAAAGTAAGTAAATATGATAGAAATACTATTTTTTATAAAGAAGGAGATGAATGTAATGAAATTTATTTCGTTAAATCGGGAGAAGTGTAAATTTCGAAAATTATTGATGAGGAAAATAGTTAAAAATAATAGAAATATGATTAATAAAATGAAGTAAAGTTTTTTAAATCAAATTTAAATAAAAGTAAAAAAAGAATTTAACTATCAATTATAGGTGAAAATTAATATTTTGGACATGAAAATATTATATAATAAGATACTATTAGGTAAACAAAAGCAACCTAAATTTCAATATCAGCTGATATATATTCTATTGATATATCAGTATAATTATATTTTATATTTATATTAAATTATATAATACATATAAATATAATAGAAATTGAAAGATAATTTGAAGTTAAACAATATGCTCGATATTTTTATAAAAGATTGCGTTATTAAAGTAGAATGGCTTTAAAGTAGAGAAAATAAATTAAAATAATAATAATAAATATAACTATAATATTAATAATAATCTAGACTATAAACAAACAGTAATACTTTTAGAAAATAAAATACTAATAATAATTAATAATATATAAATAATACTTCTTTAAATAATGATTTATCTCCAATTAAACCATGTTATTATAATAAATATAATATATATATATATATATATATTTATATATATATATATATTTATTATTAAATTCATTTTATTATGAATTAAAAGATTTAAAAAAATAGTCTTAAAGTAAATTTATATTATCTCAAAAAAAAGACACAGTTCTTAATATTTTAATAATGATCATATTAATGATAGTGTTTAAGGCTTTAAATAATTATTTAAAAAATTTAAAATTGATTGTATTATAAGAAACTAAAATGAAAAGTATATTTTTGATAGAATTTTATATAAATAAAAATAATCTAATTAACATAGTCTTCATAAAAATAATAATCCAATACAAAAAGAAAAAATTAATCGCTTTAATTATATATAAATAATTAAATATAAATCAAAAAATAAAAAGAAGAAATATTAAATTTTCAGCCTTTAGTACAAAATCGTATAACTTCGATTATAAGAAATTGCATTTTGTAATAAAAAAAATAAGATAAAGTAAGCAACTTTTCTAAAATTAATAAAAATGATAATATATTAATTAAAAAAAAAAATATAATTAATTTAACATTATGTATAAATTTATTATAATTAAATATATAATATTGTATTTTCATAATATATTTAATTTATATATAAAAATAAATAATTAGTTAATTTTTTAAAGAAATGGAATATAAAATAAAGTAATTCTTTATATATTTTAATAAATATTATAAATGAATATTTATTAAATTAAATATATAACTATATTGATATTTATGTATTAATTTTTATTTATAAAATAATAAAATATATTATTAATTTCAATTAAAATAATTTTAAAAATATCTATATATATATATATATAAATAAATAAATTTATATAGATATAAAAATTAAAAAATATGTATATATATGAAAATACATATATATATATATATATATATTTACATATATTATTTATTTTCTTTTAATACTCATAAATATTAAATTATTATAATATATTATTATAAATATGTAATAATACTTATTATTATAAAATTAAAAAAAAAAAAAAATATTTGATGAAGGCGAGGTTCGAACTCGCGCCCTTTCGGAATAGAGCCTTAATCTACCGCCTTGGACCGCTCGGCCACTCCATCTTTTTTATGTAATTGTTGTTATAAAATTAAAATAGATAATATTAATATAATATTTAAAAAAAAAAAAAAAACATTTAATATTATTAATTATAAACTTAAAAATATATTTGTAATTTATATAAAAAAATATATTAATATTAATTTATAATTTTTAATAAATTTAAAAGTATAAATTAAAAATATTTTTTTTTATTTATTTTAAGATATTTAATAAAAAAATATATATTATTAAAATCTTTATTTCAATATAAATAATTATTTAAAAAAAATTATTATTATTATTTTTAAAGAATATTTTATATTTAAAAGTTTATTTAAATAGATATAAAATTATTAATTAAATTTAATAAAAATAAATATTAACAAAATAATCATATTTTATATTCTATAAAAAAATATAAAAATTAAATAAAATATAATTATATATATATATATATATATATGTTTATAAATCTATATTTATATATATATTATATACTTAATATATTTTATTACAATCTTTGACGTATTATTATAAGTAATTAGTATATAATATCTATTTTATTTTTATTATTCAATTTTTATTATAATCTATATAACCTTTGTTTTTTTATAAAGTGCTTTTTTAAATCTCTAAAATATTATTTTTTTTATAATTATTTAAATTTGATATATTATATATTTTTATATAATTTATTTTTTTATTTAAAAATTGAAAATTTTTATAAATATTATTAAATAAGCTATATATTTCTATTATTAGGTGTACATGTTTCAAAAATTAATAAAATAAATATTCATAATTTACAAATTTTATTAATTAATTATTTTCTTGTTATTATAAAAAATATCAACAAAATTTTTAATATAATTTTCTTTTTTAAAACTGAAAAAAATATGTCATTTTTATCACTAATGAGTGTATATTTAAAATAATATTAATACTTTCAATAATTATTTATTAATGGATAAGATAAGAATATAAATTATATAAGATATAAAATTAAAATTTTATTAGTATATTAAGAATATATTATATTATATGTTTATTTTATAAATATATTTTTCTATTTTCTTTTTTATGTTTTTTTTATTTAATTTATTTTAATAAAAATAGATAAATAATTAAAAAAATATAAAAATTAATTAATATTTAAATTTAAATAAATATAAATATATTTATATAATATATATATTTATATATATATGTATATATATATTTATATTTTATATATATATAACTATATTTTATTAATCATTAAATATTATTTTTAATAAATAAATAGGAAATTGTAGCATTAATTTATTTATATTCATATAAATATCATTCAAAAAATGGATAATCAATATATCCGATTTCTCCTTCGCTATAATAAGTTTTTTAATCGTAATTATTATTAACTTATAATCCTTTTTAAAACCTAAAAGGTAAATCAGGGTTACTTATAGCTAATCTTCCAAAGCTAATCATATCACAATTTCCTTCTTTTAACTTATCTAATCCACTCTAATATTCAAAGCCTTCATTATCAATAATAATTCCTTTAAACAAATGTCTAAATTGTTTAGCACAATCTGGTATTTATTCTTTTCCATCATTAGGATAATTAGATTTGACCATTACCTTTTCAACTTCTCGTAATTCAATAAATCCAATATTCCTTTTATCTAATTCTTAAATTAAATAACTGAATGTTTTTATAGGATCATTATCATACATATCATTAAATCTACTTACTGGGGATATTTTAATTCCTATTCTTTTACTATTTCCATATACTTCAATAAGTGCATCTATAATTTCTAAACAAAATCTACATTTGTTTTCAACACTACCTCCATATTCATCGTTTCTATTTTTTTTTATTTTTTTAATAAAAAATATATTTATATATATATCTACCTTTAATTAGAAGAATCTCTTAAAAATTAATCAACTAAATATCCATTAGCTCCGTGTAATTATATACCATCGAATCCAGCTTATTTACAATATATAGCTCCTTATTTAAATTCTTCAATTACTTCTTTTATTTATTATTTTGTCATTTCATGAGGAACTTTATAATATTCATTATTTGCTCTTCTGTTTATAAGCTTAATTCCAATAGGAGAAGGTCCATATGTTATCCCACTTTTATTAATTAAAGGATCACTTGCCCTTCCTCCGTGCCATATTTACATAAAAATTAAAGAGTCTCCTTAATGTACTTTATCGACTATTTTTTTCCAACCATCAGCTTATTCTTATGTAAAAATACCAGGACCTCTTTCAAAGCAATGCCCAATTTTAGAAACTGTAGCACAGTCAGTTAATATCATTCCAAATTATGTCCTTTAAGAGTAATATTCAGCCATTAAATCAGTTGGAATTAATGTTTTTGGGTCTGCACGTTCTCTTGTTAGTGCAGCCATACATATTCTGTTTTTGATTTATAGGTCTCCCATATTTAATTTTTGAAAATATGAAATTTCGTTATTTGGTTAATTTTGCATTTTTTTTTTATTTGAATTTATTTTTTAGTAGTTTTTTTTAAAGATATTTTTTTTTTTTTTTTCAAAATTTTTAATTTGTATGATATTTTTTTTATTATATTAAAAGCAGATTAGTAAAAAAAAAAAAAAAAATTTTTTTTTAATAAAAATAAAAGTAAATATTTTAAGTAATTTCATTTAAACGAATATACATATATTTATATTTTCAAATTAATAAAGTCTATGGCTAAACATCTTAAGATTTAATAATCGGAATTTAACTTTATAAAACTTAAGTTTAAAGTTAAGGATAAATATAACCTTATTAATAAACAGGCTACAACACGTTTTATCTATAAGTGTTTTAAATTTATACACTCTAACTTGGATGAATAATATTTTAGTTTATTAAAGGCATAGTTGAATATTTTTATTAAAATTACCCTGATTAAACTATAACAGGGGTTAGACTAGTTTGCAAATTAGAAACTTATACAGGTTAAATAGTTTATATAGCAAGTTATTTAGGCTAAATAGTTTATTAAACTGGTTAAGTAATATATTATGATATAATAGGGTTTGGAGTAAGTGAATACATCTAATATTTATTACTTTATTCATTTTTATTCTATTCTTTTATTGAATTCTAAGTAATTGATAATTGGTTACTTGCTTATAATTTTTCATTATTATAAATTTAAAGAGTGTTTATAAGTTATTAATTTTAAATTTTCAATTATTGGTTTTCCCTAAAAATTTATTCTTAATGGATACTATTTAACTATGTTTTTTTAGGTGAATGGGCATTAAATAAATATTAGTTTTAATTTGTTTCCATTGTAACTTAATAATTGACAGGTCTAGCCATTATCATTTTAAATTATTCGAAAGTAATTACTTTATTTTATGACAGAGCCCTAATAAGTAAAAAATCATATTATTATTCGGTTAATACAGATGAGAAATTGTAATAATATTAGCTAAGTTATTCATAATCTATTGCTTTTCGTTTTTTTAAATCAATTTCATTAAAAGCTTATAATATTGTAAATCCATGATAATGTAGATTATCCTTTTTTTTTTTTGTTAAAAAAAAAAAAAAAAAAAAAAAAAATTATTTATTATTGCTTATATTTATATAACCTTATATATTAAGGAGTATTTTAAAACATCATAATTTATTAAGAAAATACTTTCTATAGCATATTAACATCTTTTTGATAAATTATATTAATAAGTACCTTTATTTTCGTTTTAAATGATTGTTTTTACTGTTGTTAAATCTTATCCTAACATCCTTATGAATGCAGATAAATTAAATTAATTTTCGTTATCGTTGTTAAATCTTTATAATAATTAATGAGCTTATTCATAAGTAGAAGTTTCGTTATATTACTTTAAAAAATTTAGAAGAGCTTCTACGGTTAATATTTAATTATGAGTAGGTGATGATGACATACAGGAATACCATTTTTTAGATTCTTCTCTTTTTATATTTATAGAATATAAGTTTATGAAATATTCGAATGCTTAATCTATGAAAAATTCCGAATAACTTTTTAAATTTTCCTAGTGAATATGAATTTATTAGGCAGCACTTATTTCAGAATTTAGAATATCTATGACTTGCTTTTGTTTCATTTTTTTATTTTCTTTTTTTTACTATTTTATATTTTACTTTCTTTTTTTTTTTAAGTTATATTTTTATTAATTTTTTGCTCTTTTATAAAATATATAAATAAAAAAAAATATTTATATATATAATTTTTTTGTTTTTTATAAATTTTAATTTTTTTTTTTTTAAAAAAAAAAATAATAATAATAAATCAAATAAAAATAATAAAACATATAGTTGTACATACAAATAAAAAATATATATAGTTTTGATTTTCTAAAACATTATTCACAAACAAATCGTTTTTTATTAATTATTTTTTATTTTAATTAAATCTTATTTATTTTAATTAAAAAACAATATTATTTTCTGGGGTATTTTCTGGAATACTTTCTTCTGTTTCACTTTAATTACTATTTTACAAAGAAATTTCATCTGAATTAATTTAATTTTGATCTATATATTAATAATTGGAATTAGACAAAAGATCTTTTTAAATCTAATTATTAATTAAATTATTTTATAACTATTCTGTTTCCTTTTCAATATTTTCAACATAAACTATGCTAGGTTCATTTTCTTTCGAAGTCGTAAATTGGCTTTGTGTGTTCTAAACTACTTCATATTCTAATGATTCAAGTGATTTTTATTAATTTTCTGACATTTTTTTATTTTTTGTATATTTTTATTTTTTTCTTATTATTAAAATAATTTATTTTTATAATAAATTCAGAATATAATCAATATACATATTATATAAAAAATAAAATAAAATAGATTTTTCGTAAATAATATATTAAATTTATATATATATAAATATATGTATATATTATTTATTCAAATAAATAATTTATAAATTATAAATTTTTTAATTTATTATTCCTAGAGGTTAATTAACATATTTATTTAATAAAAATTATCAATTTATATATTTTTTTAAAAAAAATATTATACTTTTAAAAATTAAATTATTATAATTACAATATATTATTATTTTACAATTTTATAAAAGGTAAAAATAATATATAATATTGAAATGTAAAATGTTTTTAATAAAAATTTTCATAAATAATTAAATATTTTTACTTTATTTAAATAATTTTGTTTATATATTTTTATATTATTATATATTATTTATTTAATTAAATAATATAATTTGAATATTACTTTTTATAAACTATATATTGATATTTAAATTTTAAAAATAAATACTAAATTTTATATATTTTGAATTTTACTTTACAAAATTTTTTATATAAATTTATTTATATTTTATAAGAAGTTTAAACAATTTAAGAAAACAGGAATAATTAAAAAATCATTATATATAATTTTTAGAATTAATAAAAAATATTTTTTTGAATTTATATTAGAAAAAAATTTAAATTAAAAATAATAAATATAGTTGAAAAAATATTAAACATATATAAAAAAAATTGTAAACATAAATTAATTTTTTTAAAAAAAAAATTATAGAAAAAATATAATATTATAGTATAAAAATGATGCTTTCAAAAATTATAAAATAAAATAATTAAATTGAATTATCTTTATAATTAATAAAAAAATAAAATTAAAAAAAATTTTTAAGATAAAGTATAAATAATAAATAAAAAAATATTTATTATAATAATAAAAAAATAAATATATATAAATAAATAAAAATAAAAAATAAAAATGCTTATAATAATAAATTTATATTTATATTAATATTTATATTAATATTTATATTAATATTTATATCCTTAAACTAAAACAATTTAATTTATGAAAATTTTTATGATATTTTATTTATATATGTATATTTTATTTTTTTATTTAATTTTTAGATGTTAATATTACAAATAATTTTATTTATTTAATAAAATTATTTTTAATTATTTAAAAATTTTTTTTAATGATCATATAAATTTATAATATATATTTTTTTATATAATTTTATATATATACACATTTATTTTAAGAAATATTAGTTTTTTAAATTAAAAATTAAGTTATAATATTAATGTATATTTTTATCATATTCTATAATATATTTTTATTTTAGAATTAATAAATATAAAAAAATAATATATTTCCATAAAAATTTAAAATATCTAGTTTTATATTATAGCTAATTTTAAAATTTATATAAATAAAATCATAAATAATAAAATTAATAGACTAAAATGTTATATAATAATAATATTTAGGTATCAATATATAATTATATTTAAGACTTCACTATTACAGTGATTTAATAAATAACAATGATAAATTTTAGTTTATAATAGAATTTATCTTACTAAATTATAATAAGTATTTTTCTAAATTAAATAATACATATAAAGCATTTTTTTCTTTAAATTATTATTTTTTTTATATTAGATAAAAATAGGATTTATTATAGGAACATTAGAAGAATAATAAAATAACTTTCTAATTTTTAAAAATTTTAAAAATATTATTAAAAACAATATTCTTTTATTTTATACAAAATAATTTATATTAATTTTTAAATAAAATGAATATGATAACTTGGAAATAACTTTTTATAAAAACATAAAAAATGGGTATAATATATTAAAACGATTTAAAAAATATTTTAAAACCTAATAATTAAACCAAAGAGATAATATACAGACAGATTGAAATAAATAAAAATATTAAAAAAAATATATTAATTATATTATGAATACTATTCAACTTAATATGATTTATAAATTAATTAATATGAGAAAAATAAATAATATATATATATAAATATATATATATATATATATATATATATATATATATATATTTATTTTTTCATGCAGAACTTTATTATTTTTATAAAATTTTTTTAGCATATTTATCAGGAAATAAAATTAAATCATATAGTTTACTTTATTAGTGATTATATTAATCTTTTATTTATTTTTTTTGTGTTTATTTTTTACAAAAATTGAAAAATTAGTCTAATATCTATCCTTTACTTAATTAACATTTTAATGATTTTTATTTTGAACTTAATCGAAATATTCAAAACAAATTATTTTTTATTTTAATTGTTCATAAAGACCAAAAACAATTTTATTTTATTTATCTTATATTGTTTCTTTTTAAATTATGTCATTTTTTAGTTAGATTATTATTTTTAGTAATTTTTATTTTTCTTAAATTTTTTCAACTTCATTTAAATTTCTTCTTTCTTGATTACTTATAACTGGGAACTTTATATCAGAATTGGCTTTTTTCTTATAAAATATTAATTTTATATTTGATTTTTTTCTTCATCATTTTATAAAAAATTAGAATCTTTTAATAAAGGCAATTTTTAGCTTTAATTTCTAAACAAATTTTAGCTATTATTAGTACTTTAAAAATTATCAGAATATGAAAAATTAATTAACTTTAATTTATTTTTCTTCGGAGTGTTTTGTGTAGTTTATTGATTAGTCTAAATTATTTTATTCATGAAATTATATTATTTTTGTAAAGATTAATAAGAGTTGTTAAATTAATTAGCTAATAGATAATTTTTATTCTATAAACATATTTTTTATTGTAATTTATCTTATTAATCATGATAATAGTCATTTTTTTCTAAAAGTTTTTTTAATCTTAATTATAATACAGTGCTTTGTGAATAGAATTTCCTATAAAAATCCTTTATTTTATTTATTTTATAAAAATATAAAAATTATATATTTACTTTTTCATCCATCACATATAATTCACCTTGTGCGCTTATACATTTCACAGTTAAATTTCTTGGTAATCTTAATAAAATATCTTCAAATCCAAATATAAATCCTTATGAAACAATTCCAATCTATAAATAAATATTTTTATATCCATATATGTTATTAAAAAAATGTTTTTAAATAATTATTTTATATTTACTTGCATTTCTTTATACTAAGGTCCATATCTATTAATAAATAGAGGAATATTTTATTAATAAACCTAAACTTCTTCTTTTTCATATAATTTTTGTTTTTTAATAAGCTATTTATTTACATATATTTAAATAAAATATATTGTATTTTTTTAAAAAAAAACAAAAAATACACAAAATTCTCCTTCTTTAACAATAAATATTTCATTTGCATTTTCTTCTTCTGAATAAACAATTTAATCTCTGACATAAGTATTAAGATGTGTATTTATAAAAATTTATTTCATCATATTATTATCTAATCCTCTAAAAAGTGAAGTGTTTTATAGAAATCTAATATGTTCTTATAATTTTTATAATTCTTTATCCACTAATATATTTTTATTTCTTAAAAAAAAAAATACATCATTTTTTACTTAAAATTTATTAATAGTCATCTTTTGTTAAATATGCCAAATATGTGTTGTCTAATGTTTTTATAGTCGCCATTCTCGGTAAAGGTACTTTTTCATTTAAAAGAGCCATTTCTCCAAATGACTCTCCTTATTTTAATGTTTTTACATGTGTTTGTACTAGAACAGTTTTACTTTCACTGACTTATTAATTTTTTTATTTTTTTTAAATTAAATATTCTAGTATTTATTTTCTTTGTCCTTTTTCAGCAGATACTGCTGGATAAGGTTCATTTTAAACTTCTTGTTTTTAAAATTAACTAACAATAACAGTCACCGAACCTTCTAAGATAATATAGAATTCTTCGCCTAAATCTCCTTAATTAAAAACTATATGATTTTCTCCAAAGTGTTTTAATCTTAATTAATTACAACAGTTTTATACAATTTAAACTCCATACTTTTTTTATGTATTTTCGAAAAATTTAATATTTTTTAATGTTTAGAATATTTATTTATTCTCACTTAATTTTCTTCGATTTGGATTTTTTTTATTAAGTCTAAACATTACTTTTTTTTAAAAAAATAAATAAATATATAATCATATTATATAAAAAATAAGCTTTCATATAAATTATATAGCTCAATTATATTTAAAAGTATATAAATATATATGTATATTGAAAGGTAGTATTTTTTATTAATATTTTTTAAATTATAAAAAAATACTTAAAATTATTTATTTTATTCATTTATATCTTATTCTAATAATAAATCCATTTATTAAGAAAATGTCATGTTCACTTAATTTTTGTTAGAATCTTAACTACGAGGTGAATTAAATTAATTCATTTATTCTTACTTTTCTTAAACTAATTCTTTTTGTTATTTTGATTTTGTGTTTCGATGTTTGTTTGAATTCATTTTAATGGTCTTTATTAAAATATTTAATATTAAATAAAAATTATTAACCACAATTAATATAAGCTTATTTTTTTTAATTAAAAATATTTTTTAGTTTTATTATGACATAAATTTTTAAAAATAAGGTTTTTTGTTAAAAATTCATAAAAAAGTTTACAAAAAAAATACAATGTTATTTTATTTTTTCTCTGTTTTTTTCTTACCTTTATTAATTATTTATTTATAATTTAATAAACTTATAAAGAAAAATTTATTTTTAAAAAATAGATAGTGCTTATTAATAATTATTTTATAATCAAAATTTAAGAAAATAAAAAATTGGCATGCTTTTATAAAATAACTTTATATTATGTAAAAAATAAAAAGTGTATGAACTCTATTAATCGAAATTTTCTTATTTAATCTTTTAATAGGGAATAAAAACTTAGGAAGAATTTGTTTCTACAGTGTAGCGAATATTCTATTTCTGAAAACGAATAAATTATAATAAGCGCATTAAATAATTAAAATAATTTACCCGAAGTATATTATATGGATAATTAATAAGCTTCAAATTATTTCCAAAATAATAAAGGAATTAACTTTTTCTTTTTAAATATCCAAATCCAAGTAAATGTCAAATGTCAAATGTCAAAATTTAAAATTAAAAGATATATTTTATCGAAACATAATAAATAATTAAAGATATTGTGATAGTAAATATACTTAAAGTATCTTTTAAGAAAAAAAAGCTATAATGATATAAAAAACAGGTCGAATATATAAAATAGAATGTAGAATAGTAAAAAAATGTTATAAAAATAGATAAATATATGAAGGATAATGGGTAAACAGTCAAAAACATGGATATAGGATTTGGATTGGGGTAAAAGGTGATAAGTATACAGGGAAATATAAATTTGAAAAAGCAAATGCATTTGGTGTAAATGTTTATTTAAATGGTGGCAAATGTGAATTATAATTTAAAGAATTATTAAATTATGGAAAAGGGTGTAATTTATTTTAGGATTAAGATAAATTTGTAGAATAATATGTATATAAAAAACCAGATTAACTGTTTATTTTTTAAAAAAAGGGACTTATTTTAAAAAAGTTATAAAAATTTATTAATATAAAAGAAAAACGAATGAAAAACAGCGAAAATTTATAGTTAAAGCATATTTGAATTTTTAAAAAATATTTGTGGAAAGTTATTTGGAAATATATATTTTATAAAAGTGAATCAGAAAAAAGAGTTTATAATGGATAAAATTAAATATTTATTAAGGAATAAAATTTAAAACAGAAGGTTGAATTCAAATAAGATATAAATATATATCATTTTATGTAATTTAAATAGATATAATATAAAATAGTTTAAATTACCATATTATAAAATTTTTTAAATTCAAAAATAATAAATTAATAAAAAACTCAAAATATAAAATATTATAAACAACTAAGTATATATATTTAACTAAAATAGTAAATAAAAAAAAAATAATAATTAAAGATATAATATTACTCTTGAAATCTTTTTTACATAAATAAAGTAACTAATGATAAAGTGAATTTAAAAATAAAAAAAAAATTATATATTTTATGTATATATATATATATATATATATATATATATATATATATATATATATTATTTTTATTTTATATATACTATTTTCATTTTTGATTATAATTTTTAATTATTTTTATAATTTTTTTGTATTTATTATTTAGTCTATCTTAATCAAAATATGTAAACTTTATATTATGATACAAATGTTTAATTTTGAATATTAATAATATTCTTTATATTTATTTAATAATAAATAATGTGCATATATTTAATTTTATAGTTTTGTATAAAAGATTATTTTAATATTGAATTTTAAGCATTAAAAATTTTTATAACAAATTTTATTTTTATATGATTATTTCTTTATATGTTTATATATTATTAATATTTATGTCTTTTATTATTTTATATTATTATTATAAAAATTTGATAAACAATTTTTTTTTTATGTTTTATAAATTTATTAAAGAAACATATTAATAATATGTAATTTATTAAATAAGCAATTATTGATAATTTTGTAATATTTATTTATTGATATATAATTAAATAATTATTTAATTTAGATGTGTTTTTTTTAAAAAAAAACTTTAAATTTTAATTAACACTAGAAAAAATAGTATATATTATATTAGTTTTATATTTAATTAGCTAGAGTTTAGTTAATTAAATTTTAAATACATTAATTTAAAAATAAAATATATATTTTATTAAAATATATATATAACAATATAATTATATATATAAATATATATATTTATATATATTTTTTCTTATTATATTTAAAATAAGAATTTTTTAATGCTATTTGTATTTATATTTTAAATATATTTTAAAAAAAGTTTTATATATCTTATAAATACATTATAATTATTTATAAAAAATAAAAGAAACATTCATTTTTATTTTTTAAGTATCCAAACTTCATCTAAATTTCTTCCCCATTCATCATAATCTAACCCATAACCAAGAATAAACTCAGGATCTATTTTAATTCCTACATAATCTATTTAAATTTCATGCTTTAAGCAAGCTTCTTTTAAAAAAAGTGTGCATACTTTTATACTTTCAGGTTCTTTACTTTTTAAATGTTTAAGAAGTTAACTTATTGTATATCCACTATCTATAATATCCTCAACTAAAATTATATTTTTACCTTTTATATCAGACTTAAGCCCTATTAATTATTTAAGTTATTCTGTACTTTCAGTTCCTTAATAAGAAGAAACTTTACAAAATTCAACTTCTATTCCTAAGAAATCTAACTTTCGGACTAAATCTGCACAAAAAATAAAAGCACCATTTAATATTCCAATAAAAAGAGGGTTTTTATCATGGTAATCTCTAGATATTTCATCAGCAACTTTTTAAACTGCTTTTTCTAGTTATTATTTTGATATATATGGAACGAATTCTAGTCCTTTATGGGAAATTATATTTTTGTTCATTTTTTTTTTAATATATTTTTTATTTGAAATAGAATATTTTTTTATAAAATAAAAATTAATTTTTTTTTTTTTAAAAAAAAGAAGCATTTATATATTTTCTTGAATTAAATAAAATTAAAATATAAAATAGATATTTACTTTTTTCCATTCGTTTATAATAAAATAAAAAACCAATCAGATAAAAAATTAAATATATATATATATTATATATGGTAAAGCTAAACTAAGTTAAATAAAGATACATTTATCTCTCACCTACTGTACAAGCTGGATGGGAAGACGAATCATAAATTTCTGATTTTGATGGATAAAAAGTATTAGGAAAAGGTATAATTTACAAGAAAAAATTCACATATAATATAAAATTAAATATATATTATTTGTTAAATAAAAAGGTGCATTCGGTAAAGTAATAAAAGCAGTTCATTAAAAAACAAAGATAACATATGCCGTAAAAGAAATAAATAAAAAAAATCTCAAATAAAATAACATGATAGAATATATAACAAATGAAGTAAAAATAATGTATTCACTAAACCATCCTTATATAGTAAAACTGTACAATCATTTCGAAGATGATTTTAATATCTATTTAGTTTTGGAATATTTAGCCGGTGGTTAATTATATTAAGTTTTATGGAAATAACCAGGCCATTCTTTTGAGGAAAAAAAGGCTGCTAAGTACATATATTAATTGACAAAATCCTTGGATTTGATTCATTCTAAAGGAATCATGCATAGAGACATTAAACCGGAAAATATCCTTCTAGATTTAGAAGGGAATATTAAATTAACTGATTTTGGTTGGTCGAATTTCCTAAAGCCGAACGCAAGTGAATATAGGACCACTTTTTGTGGAACTCTTGATTATTTAGCCCCAGAAATGCTTTCAGGGGACCATAAACATGATTTTGGGGTTGATATTTGGTCTATAGGGGTCCTTTGTTTTGAATTATTATGTGGGATAAGTCCTTTTGCACCAAAAACTAATTAGTAAAATTAAGAATATGTAGATAAAGCTACTAGATAGAATATTTTAGTAAATATTTTTTTTTAACTTTATACTAATAAAAATTCAGAACGTTTAATTTGAATATCCGAAAGATTTTCCAACTATGCCAAAAGATTTGATTAATAAAATATTAGTAAAAGATGCTAAAAAAGAATTTCTATAAAAGAAATTTTAAATCATCCATGGACTATGTCTTTAAATTAAGATTTGATAGTCCCTTAAATTGTGAAATTAAATAAAACTATTACTGATAAAACTTAAATTTAGTAAGATGTATAGACTGTTTTTACTAATGAAGAGATTATAGATTATTCACGATAAGATAGTGTATTTTATTTTAAATATTAAAATATATTTATTTTTATTATAAAATAGATAATTAATAAAGAATTTAATGAAAACGAAGTAAATGTCAATAATAAGTCTTTATAGAATATGAGTTATATTTCTACAGGTGGATAAGATCTGAAATAAAAAATCATTGAATAACAATAATAATAAATATAAAAATTGAAGGCTGATATAAATATAGTGGAGATTTAAAAATAAAAGAAAGACTAAGAATGTGAATCATTAAAATAATAATTATAAAAATTAAAAAATAGTTAAACTAATTATACTTCAAATGATTAAATGTTAGTAGATAAATTAAAAGAAAAAGATGAAAAATATAATTAGTTGGTAAAAGAATTTAATTATTTAAAAGATAAATTTACTATTTTGGAATAATAATAATAAAAAAATACACAAGGATAAGACTTAAGTTTAATTTAAAAATTAAAATAATAATTAGAAATCCTTTAAACTGAAAATGTTTATCTATATATATATATATATATATTTACTTATTTTTTATAAGGCTAAACTTAAAAATGGAGATAAAGATTAAAATATAAAATAATCTATGGACGAAATGATGTAGAGAATAAATTAATATAGAGAAAAAAATGAAAAACTAAAGGAGAAATTAAAAAATGTAAAAATATAAATATATATATATATATATATATATATTTATCTTTTTTTTATTAAGACTGAATTAGAGTTAATTAAATTAAAAGAATCTAAAAATATTACGGGAAGTATTTAAAATAGTAATTCAAGTGTTACAGGATAAGATTTAGATACATTATTAGAATAAATGAAGAAAAAATAATAAGAATAATTAAATGAAATTAGTAATATGTCAAAATTAAAAAAATTGTGATTATTTTTTTATATACATTAAAGTGTTCTTTTTAATAAGCATTAAATATTTTTAATAATTATAAAATAAAAATAAGAATACATAAAAACAAAGTTTTTAAATTAGGCGATATTATAAAGCATCAAATATTAATTCATTTATTATTTAAAAAATATATATATATATTAATTATTTTATGGTATTTAAACATTATTTTATCGTTCCTTCATTACATTTATGTAAAAGGATAATTTTTTTTTTGATTCAAATAATCTACTATATAAAAATAATATGAAATTTCATTTAATTTGATTTTGAATTGTAAATAGTATTAAATATTATTCATATTCTCTATTTTAAAAAATTTAAAATTTATAACAAATTTAACAGTTCATTTATTTAAATAGTTTTATTATTATCTATTTATTTTAAATTTATAGCATTTAATAATATAAAATTTTAAAACAAATAAAATAATTTTTCTATATTTATTAATAAAAATATATTTTATAATAGAAACATATACTATTTAATTTATTTTAAAAGCACATTTAAAAAGAAAGTAAATAAAAATTAATTTCTTTTTAAATTAAAGTAATTCAATAAATAAGTAAAAAATTAAAGAAATAAATTTTTATTATTTCATTAAAAATTATTAATTTTTTAAATACTAAATAAGCAATTATCATTATCTAAAAGAAGAATATTAATAAATTAATAATCTTTTTAAAATTCATTTATATTAATTATATAAATTTATGATTTGATTACTATATAAAATACAAACAAGTTATAATAAAAAAAAATATTTAGATGTTATTTTAAATTTATATATATATTATTGATAATAATAAATATGATTAAATAATTTATGAAAAAATATAAAATTTTAAAGGAAATAAAAAAATTAATTTAATTATATGATAATTCATGAAATAATGAAATAAAAATAATAGTAAAAAAAAATTAATTTTTTAAAATATATTATAATATAAAATAAATTATAAAAACAATATTAAAGGATATTAAATTTTAAATATAAATTTTTATTTGTTTTTTTTAATAAAAATTAATATAATAAGTATTTGAAAATTTGAATATATAAAAGTAATGAATTAAATATAATTAGATTAATATAATCCATATTAATTAATAGAAAAATTAAAATATAAAAAAATAATTTATTTAAGAACATAAAAAAAAAAATATATATTTTAAATTTAAATTAAAATAATATTTATTTTTAAATATAAAAAAAAAGTAATAAAAGAATAAAAAATTAAATTTGCACTAAGATATAAATTAATTTGTAAAAAAAAAAAAAATTAATAAAATTAATATAAAATTTGTTATTTATTAAAAAAATACGAATAATTTAATTAATATATAATTAAAATATTTAAAAAAAAAACTAAATAAATAAATATAAATAAAAAAATTTAAAAAGAATTTAGTGTATATATAAATAAAAATAATAATTAATAAAAAAATAAAATTAGTTAATATTAAATAATATAATAATATAATAATATAAAATAATATAATAATATAATAAAATTTACAATTTGTAAAATCAAATAAATAAAAAAAAAAATATTTAAAAAAATATATATAATTAGAAAAAATGTAAAATAAATGTTTTGCTGTTTATAATTGGAGTTATAATGGTTGGATGTAGAAGATGAGTTGGGTTAGGTTGGGGTTGGGGTTGGGGTTGGGGTTGGGTTGGGTTGGGTTGGGTTGGGTTGGGTTGGGTTGGGTGCATAACT